TTCTTTTGGGTTTTTTGTTGGGTTTTGGATGTGAGGGGGAGGGGTTGTGTGTTTGGGATTTTTCTGTTTGCTTTTGTTTGGTTGGCTGGTTTTGGACAGTCTTATTTTCCTAGGACTGTACTGCAACTGTCACCGCACTTATGTCATTAGAGTGAAAATACAACAGAAGTAAATATCACTATTATGTCAAGAGACAAGCATCCCAGGGCCACTGACTGTCTCTCCTTGTCATTATCCCCTTTGTAAGAAAATGGGAATCTCAGATAATGCAGCCAGCAGGAGGGCAACAAACGAGATAGAAATTTAATGTGTTTCTTTTCCTAAGCTGTTTGTCGTTAGCAATTTTGTTCTGATTTAAGGGACAAATTGTCCACCCCTTTTAAACAACAGAGATTAATTTTCAGTYATTTGTAGAGGCAAAGTCTCTTCACATGATTTAACTGTCTGTCCAACAGGTTTAGTTAGGCACTAAAGCTTTGTACATCAAACTAAACAGGGCACTGTAGTATTTATTCCAGTTTGGCATAAATAAGTATGGACTGCCTTATGTAAACAATTGTAAAATTGTTAGCTGCTTTACAGTACCAAGAGCTTTGACAGCAGCCAGACCCAGAGAATGGACATGCTTCCTCTCTTTTAGCCTGATCTGAGACTTCAGTAAAAGTGACCAGCATAGCTGCTGTACTACTGTCTTTATGYTCATTGATAAACACACAATCTTGGTTTTAATCCACAGAAAAAAGAATATTAATTGTTCCTGCTATAAGATTAAATTGCACAAACAATTAATGGAGAAAAATATTCTTWAGGAGCACAGTCTTTACCCATTATTGTAATAACAGAGCATCAGTGAAAAATTTGCTGCATTTGACTTTTTGCTGCCCCTGCTGGASCAGCAAGTTTGCAGTCCATCTTTTTCTCTTCTAGACTTATATTTCAGTAAAAGGAAAATGCTCCCAAGGTACCACAAAATTTACTTTGAAAGTGAATATTAAAAAACTGCATTTGTAAATTTGACTCCATTTAAATTAGATACACTATAACTTCTGTTTTTAATTGTAACATTAATACACAGGTTATTATTCCTACCAGATTTCTTTTAGKAGTTTAAAACTAAACACTTTAACAAATAAGGATTTTCTTGACTATGCCTAGCTTTTCCTTAGCTCTTCTTGAAAYACACAAGATCAGACTTAATAAACTTGCTATATAGTCCCCTAATTAAATGCATTTTATATTAAAATTAATCAACAGTAAAAACTATCAAGATGTCTATTATGAATGCTTCACTGTATGTAGACTCATTAACCTAAGTTAAATTAATAAAACAAGCCCAAGTGTAACCATGACCACTGATTGCTTGGAAAGTTCCCTAGTGAATTTTTGATAACTTATTCCAGTTACTACAAAATTTCCATTTTAAGACCACATGAAATTCTCATTTCATGAGTGAATTTTTTTTTAAAAAATCTTTTTTTTTATAGAATTTCCTTTTTATAACCAGTAATATTTTCTGGTCCATTTTGTGAAAATAATTATTGTAACCCTTCTCTCTAATAACAGTGAAGAGAAATATACCACAGAAAGACATATACCCTAACGTTTATATTTGGTGATTACCTTCCTTGRCATTTAGCTGCTATCTGTAAAAGCAAAAATCAATACTTTATTTCTTCTGGAGAGCGATACCGGTTACATGTGCAATCTCCACATGTTTGCACATAAATATTCTCAAAGGCAGACTAAATCAATTAACATTTGTAGTTGTCCAGTCCCTTTGCAAAACATATTATGCACTTAGGATGAATTCAGTGTAAATCATCATCCTAGCCACACAATTAAATACTATAAGCTTCCTTAACCCTCAGCTCAGACTTTCCTAATCTCTAAAGGAAAGCAATGCCAGATGGCCGTGAACAACTGTTAAGAATCAGAGGGACAGAGAGAAATACCTGAAGCTTTCAGTAATTCGGTGGAGAAACACCTTCTGTTCCAACTTACTGCCAGGCCCCACTTAGATAAATTTGCTTTGCACAACTCACATGTGATTCTTCYAGGTTAATTGATACACACACTACTAATTTCCAAAAGCTGTATTTTGTTGTCATGAACGGGATTCACAGACACTGAATTTTTGCTGGGCAGAAACAACACAGGGCAATGTTGGCTAAAAAGCACAGMGAGAATCCACTGACCAATGTACTTCTCCACTTTAAATATATACTTGTGTATAAGTATCTATGGATACACATTAAAATACATAAAATATATTGTATGTAAAAACAATACGTGTAATGTGTGCTATTCATACATAAYTGGTGATCAAATCTATGAGTTAGTGCAAGGGTGAAAGAGTAGCACAGCTCATTGGCCCCTGAGGCACAGATGARGCCCCAATCTCTTCCTCTGCCTCAAGAAGAAATAATGGGAAAAGGTTCTTCTTTTCCTACAGAAGAACATCCTCCTTTGAGCTACACTAAGAATCATTCAAGACAATAGTGCCCAGGGTGCTGGGATGCCAAGGGCACCTCCTGTTTCCGTTCTCAGAGGAAGCATCTCACAAGCACCATTTTATATGGTAACTGTGTGGAAGTGGCCTCCTCACCTCTGAAGAYCAGGAGCCTCATTCTGCTTTAAATTACAGTTCAGGAAATTTCATTTAAATTTAAAAATCTTAAAATGAAGCTTCTCCTTTTAAAAAAAACCACCTTGCAATACAAAAGATTAGCGCCACTGCTCAAGAGAAGGCCAGCGCTTCATGTTTTTTGACTGGGGTTTCTTAACAGAAATTCAGAAGGAAGCAGTGAGGAAGCAGGCAAACCTGGGAATGGAAAAAGCAGGTTAAGAAGAAAGATAGGAATGAAACAGCAGGGAGTTCTTCAGGGCAGGGCAGGAACAAAGTGCAATGGCAGAGCTGTGTGGGGAATCCAGAGCTGGGCTAGTAGAAGAGCTCAGGGCAAGAGTGAGAGATGCTGCAGGTGAGCATTTTAAAACAACCTCTCAGATTCACCAGGCCAGAGCATAATTTTCATTCTGAATAGTATAGTTCACACCAAAAAAAGCATTTTTGGAAAATTGGATAGAGATGTGGTGACAAAGTTTAATAACATGAAGAAAAATTATGTAAGACTCACAACAAAAGGCATGGAAAGGAGAGTGTGAAGGAGATTAAGGGGTAAGAGTAAGAACTGAAGAAGCACAGGACACCAGAGAAGTGTTCCAGATGGTAGRCTAGCTTTAACCTAAGCTGCAATGTGTTTGTATAAAAGTCCAGTGGGAGCTGAGCAGACAGAGATGAGCACACAKATGAAGTCTGAAATGCTTTTGCAAGTTCAAGGAATGGAAAAAATGGACTCCAAAGGTCTGATGCAGAGTCAAGAAAATTGCTGCTTGGGAAGAAGAAAAAATCTCAGGAAGATGTTGCATCTAAGGAGGTGAAGAGTAAGAGACACCTACACAACCGATCACAGAGGACATGAGTAATGAGACTAGATAGAAGCTCTTCCAAAACTAGTCACCACATATAATATAAAAAAAATAACTCAAGGTGTCAAAGTAATGCAGCATTGGGTCAAAAAAACCAGTTTGATACAAATATGGCGTGTTTAAAATTACTTATTCCAAAAATACTTACGGCAACTTCCTAGTAGAGTTTGTGTAGAGAAGAAGCAAAATGTATTTAAAATCATAAGTGAACTTCGATCACATGTCTTTCAGTTATCAATTCTATCTTTCTATTTCAGTAAGATGCCCACAAGTTCAGTAATTGTAGCATTACAGTCTATTACTGATAAAAGCTCACTGTTGCGTGAGCGGTTCAACACTGTACCAAATCTCCCATTAACTCTTGCTCTTAGAGGTTATTTCAGTAAGTGGGTCAAGATAAACAGAGAACCTGCTAGTAAGACTCCTAATTTGAACAATGATATCTTAACACCAGAGGTAGCTATTTGTACAAGACTGCTAATGCCCCTTTTGCCAGAACAAACCCCAGGGTTGTGTTTCATTTATTTATGAAGCTTACTGTAGGTTTCTGGATCACAACCATGAATGGTTTTGTTCACGTGCCCAAGCTTTGTAAGCACCAGGAAAGCAGTGACCTTTGCTTTCAAACTAAGCAAACCGTTTCATACTGGGTTACACTAATGCATACTCARTATTTCAATTAGCTTGTGATTTCCTTAAAAATACTGCACTGAGGGATGCTTAGCCAGCYGATGATTAAACTTTTCCTCCCTCCCTCATACGTGACAATACTTTGCTCAAAGTAGCCATTACGCTTTTAACTTGCTTGCTGAGGCATTCATTGTTACAACTCCTCACGCCCCTTGGCTGATGGAGGAAAATCAATTTTGATCCCCGAGAAGCAAGTGCAAGTCTCCAACTTCACACACCAATGTGTACAATTGCAGCTGAAACTGAATCCAGCTTAATTCACCACTCCAGGCATTTCACGTTTATGCTGAGACCTTGAGAGGTTAGAACATACACAATTTACTGTTTTTAATTGGAGAAATGGGACAGAACTTCCTTCAAATRAAAAGGCAATTTGTCAAATGAAGTTTACACAGAGCAAATGAGATTTATGGTGACAATGAAAACATACTTTAAAAATTAACCTGCAGCTTTTTGCAACATAAGATATTACCACAGAATGCAAAAATCCAGCCACTGCAGGATTTTAATGCTACAATAATTCCGGTCTTCCTTAAAGGGCAACAATTCTGCCCTCTCTTAGATAACACAGTTCAAAGCACATTAGAATAGCAAGTCTGAGCAATTAGAAGCCAAACTACTGTAACCAGGTAGCAATAAAGAYATAGTAAGCATGAGCATTTCCCAATAGACACAAGTTTAACACTGAAAATATTCCAAGCAGGTATGGGAGAGAGGGAGGGGAGGAGAGAACTTACTGTACTGCTTCAAAGATGCACCATACACATAATGCAGCAGTACAGGATACACGGAGAGATGAAGGCAACTGAAAAGGCAGTACTCACCCAAAATATTAAATTGAAAAGGAACATCATGTATTTCAAACAACACAGGCAGCCTCTTGCCATGTTGCACTTCTTAAATTCTAAAAGGAAAACAAAGGATAGATCCAGGTAAAAGACCACGTATTTGCTGCCTTTGGGTGCACTGTATTTTTCACTTTTTACGCCAGTTCCAGTCCCAGCGCCGGTCCCGGTTCCGACCCCAGCGTGGCTCTGTGTGCGTGATCCAGTGGTACCATAGAAAGCTCCTGCAGTAAAACCTCGACCAAATTGCCTCCCTGAGGTAGAAGGTTTAGCAAAATCTGAGTCTTTGCTATCCAAAGATGGACTCCGGTGAATTGAAGAATCCTCACTACTTGACTTCTCCATGATCTCTCTTTTCACAGTTGTCAGATTTAATGTATAGCATCTCTCAGCATTAAATGCAGTGCCTTGCAAATGCCACAGTGCGCTAAGAGCTGTCTGTGTTTTGCTTCTCTTTTTCTTCGTACATAAATCAGATAATCACTGCAGAATTTATTCACTGCATTGTTGCTGGGTTTATTTTTTATAGCAATGTAGGCTGTACTCTGTCTGTCTGAAGCATGGATTTATACATTAATATCCCATGCAAGAGCACACTCATGATTTATCTTGATGAATCAGTTATGCAGAACTTTGATTTTTATTAAAAAGAGCCATAAGCTCTTTCTCTGCACTCCTAGTCTACAGTCCTGTAATCTATAGGCAGCAGATGGTCCTTGCATCCATTTCCAAAAAGCTTCTGCAGTACACCTGGGAGACTCTCCTCGAGCCGGAGCACTTTCCTTGCTCTCAGCTTCCCTCTCTGTGTCTCTCTGACTCTCTCTCACACGCTGTCTTTTTTCTTTCCACCCATTTGCAGTGTCTCATTCAGTAACCAGCTACCGGAGCGCACTCTGTGTTTCACTGCTGTTGCCGTGAAATCATCAGCAACTGCAACCACTGGGCATTTCCCACAGAAATCCCTGACCTAACTATCGAGTAATAAATCCGCCCTCCTGCTCGCCCCTCCCCTCTGCTTTCCACCSGGCCAGTTAGCAGAAGCCTTCTCCTCCAGGACACGCCTCCATGACATAATATCTTTAATAGGATTAGAATTACTCTTGACTATACAAGTGCACAACAGAAAATCTCTTTAAATGTCAAGTACTGTTTAGCTGTTTATGCGCTAGAACCGTGAGGCAGTGATATTCCTTCGATGCARTAAAATACAGAAAAAGTATGGATTCGATAGACAGGTGCTAACCTCTCTCTGCTCATTAACAGTGACTTAGGGGTTTTTTTCCGGCTTGCACAAAYCCCACGGGACAAGCAATGGGAACAGGCTAGCGCCCGGCACACACTGCTCAGGCACACATCTCAGCTGAACGTGAACGCCACACCATCACCTGTGATACAATTAACCAGAACCGGAAAAGCGGAGCTGCTGCCTCTTACGGGGTCATCAGACAATTCTTAAAACTCCTGAAACATCAGGGTATCTGAGCCTGCAGCAATTTACACGCTATTTAACGAGCACCTCAGGGATTCTTGTTGTGCGCTGCAATAAGCCATCTTACATCACAGGTCGTCTGTGAACTAGAAACACTGACCCAAATGCCGCATTTCTTTTCCACGGAGTAGTGCAACATAAATAACATGCCTGCCAGGACTGTGAACCAGGCTGGGCACGATGGTGCACGTGTGCCTGCGCACATGCATGCGAGTGCCTGGAGGGGAGGCAYAGAAACACTTCAGGTCACTCCTTCTGCTTCCAAATTCGTCATTTTGTCATAAGCGCAAAAGCAGCGCGCCCATGGTGCAAAGTGCTACAACAGATTTAAAATGCGGGTTATTCTTTTCTTTCTGTAAAGAAAGAAACCACATTAGAAGGCCGCTGTGAAAGAAATACAGCTACCAGGAAAAAGCAAAATTCTACATAATTTTCAAGTGACYCCTTCACATGCRCCTTAGAATGCACTGTTAATTGTTWTATTAGGTACTTTTGAAAAAAGACAATAGAACATTTATTTAATCTTACATATCTGCAGCCAAAAGCCTGTTAAAATTCTGTAATTTTTATGTAACAACATCAGAATCAACACCCTAAAGCAATGCTGTACCTTTCTTGACAGGCTTTTTCAGCAAAAAGATCCCTGTGGCATAAAGTACATTAAATACTCAGTATTTGAACGTGTAATATCTCTCTCTCACTTTTTCTGCTCTAGAATAAGATTTTAACAACAGGCAGGTCCAAGTACATATCAGCAATGTTTGTTCACTTTGCTTTTCAAAAGTAATTTCAAAACTCCCTGCATCAGATGTGTCCATCAGAAAGACGATTGATGGATTGACTGCTCAGCACTSTGTGTGACAGCAAAAAAAGTTACACACAAAACACCCAAGTAAAAAAAAGATAAATTAGCAYTGACCAAAGTAGAATGGGGTATTTTTATACAAGTCTGTGCTGCACATACAAACTTCACCATGAGCAGTCATCAAGAAAAAGCTTTCTCATCAAAAAACTTGGAAGGCACTTACTTGTAGGTCATGGCCAGGTATCTGCCTCAAACATTGGAGTCTGCAGAATAACTCGCATCCAAACACAAGGCAAATGTCTGAGTATGGATTTAGAAGTCTGAAAAAGCTCTTCTGTTTGAAATTCACTTATGGGAAGCGCAAAGTTGTGCCAYGGCAAACCAATGCTGTAGTTAGATATTTTCAGTGGTTTTCACTTGTCATACAAAATTGAGCTCTCAGCCAAAAAATTATGAGAACACACAAGTACTTAAAAGCATTTTTAGCTTTTTAGCTTTTGCACCCTTTGGTTTGCCATAAAATTTACACTGACATAGACTAGCTACAGAAAAAAAAATTGCTGTGTACTTGTGAAAACTAATGCAATATAAATATTTGCTGTCCCATTGCAGGTACATGACAAAAACAATTAACCTGCCCTCCTCAGGTTAAAAAATTAAAATAATGTTCTGTAGTAAGCGAAAAATATTCACAAATAGTCTAATAGTTTGTAAATAGTGGAAAATTTCTATTGGTGGTTGAAAAACAAAAAAGCAAAACAACCTTTTTACCTTTTTTTTTCAAGTTTTCATTATTAGACCTTATTGAAGTTTTCCAGTTTTCTGTTTTTACCTCCAAATACTACAAAATATTGGTTTACTGCACCATTACCTGTAATGTACCTTCCATTACGAGATCTCCATGACTGGTCTACAGCACAGTTTGTACTTCAGAACAACCCCARCCAAAGACACACGTAAAGTCAATAGGCAGCTTAAAAATCCCGACCTGAGCAACGAGCACTGGGGAAAACACGGTTCCAGATCAGCCTCTCCTCCTGCTGTGTAGCAAGAAAACATATGACTCTCTTATGGTTATGCTGTGGCCACCAGGGAGACTTTACAAGCCTCAGTAACCTTCAGCCACTTGAATTTGCAGCCACAGAGCAGCTTTACAGATTAGAAGCCACTTCCTGTTGCTGCAACTCTARCTCAGTGTTTAGGTAGCTCAGTTAATAAACCACACAGGGCTGCTTATTTGCTGRAAAAACACACGGTGAGAGAGCTGTAACCAGTCCATCCAGCTGTGTTTCCAYCAGCCACTGCACTCAGCTCTGCCTCTGACTGGGACTGCAGCAGAAGGTGAATGCCAACCACACCTTTTTGTGGTCCCACAACAGCGTAACCTCAGCATGAGGACAAATACATTTTGCTTCACTACAGATCTTACCTCTGTTTAGTAATCAGGGCATGAAAAACATTCAAAAGCTCACTCTGTACTTCATTAATGTTTGATTACCGAATCACAGAATTTTGTTGCTGAGTGATGCCTTCACATCAAGAAAATAATTTCAGTCCCACGTGTACATGCCTGGGACAAGGCAATAAACATCAGTCCGTTGCATTTAGATGGCTCTCCCAAGTATTGAGTGGAAAAACTGAGGCCACTTTCAGACAGCAGGTATGAAAATCAATGTCACAATGGGTGTAGCCAGAAAATGGAAAAGAAGAATATTAGTAAAATGGCCAAAAAWGCATAGGCTGGTTCTCCTTCTGAAACTGATTTACTTGGTTCCCTCCTGGGAACAGTGCACCATAGTCCTCCAAACACACATGCCAACATCTTAATTGCTTAGTGGAATTCACCAATTATTTAATGTTTTTTTCTCACCCCGTATATTCTCACTAGAACCTTAGTGCCAATTATGCCCAGCTACAGTGCCCCTGAACCCCTCTKTTTGTTTCTGCCCTCCTGAGCTGTTTTTGCACAAGTGGCTTGTGGAACCATGCTGCAAAACAGAACAAAAGCTGACCAAGTTTATACACATATTTATACACATCTTAAAAAGACATAATACAGATATAAAATCTATACCAGCAATATAGAGAAAAATACATTTATTTTCCCCCTTTGAGAAGTTTCAAATCAATTTTACTTGGCATTCCCCTTCAGCAAGCTTGCTGACCCAGTGAGAGGGAGAGAGACTACAACAGGCAAGASTGGGAATAAATACTGAAGGCTAAGCAAAAATATCTTAAGCTTTTGTCATGTCTCCCATGATTCCWGAAAATKAAATATGAAACTCTAGGAGTTTTTWAAAAAGTAAAAATAAAAACTCCAGTCACCATGATACACAAACCATTTTATAACTTACATATTTTATCTTCCACTTTCTATTAGGTGGAATAATGCTACTGTCACTGTTTTAAATATGGAGAAATCGAAGACCAAGATGTTCCAGGATGAGCAGGAAACTGCTGGCAGAGGAGCAAACTGAACCTGTGCCTCACATGTTTTCAGCTAGTTCACTGACCACTGCACCGTTCTCAAATTAATTATTTTTGGGAATCATGAGTTTCAGTAACCCTGTCTCCTCATGACTTTAGAACAATACTGAGCCCTGCAGAAAGTTGTACAAATGCACATACTACCAAATGTTGGATGGATATGGTTCTTAAATTCATTCTTTTCTTTTGAATTATATTGACCAGGAAGTCAATTTTACAAGCCTTCCTCRGGGTGCATTAGACAGGCAAAGAACTGAGATTGCTGGGCATGAACTCAC